TCTGTGGGGCATGCTCAAACGGAAGGTGGAGGAGGGCAAGGTCTCTAACATCCACCAGCTCCGTGATGTCGTCATGAGTGGAAGAGGACTCCAGTGGCAACCTGTGAAGTTCTGGTGAACTCCATGCCCAAGAGGGTTAAGGCAGTGCTGGAAAATAATGGTGGCCACACAAAATATGGACAGTTTGGGCCCAATTTGGACATTTTCATTTAGGGGTGTACTCACTTTTGTGGCCAGTGGTTTAGACATTAATGGCTGTGTGTTGAGTTATTTTGAGGGGACAGCAAATTTACACTGTTATACAAGCTGTACACTCACTACTTTACATTGTAGCAAAGTGTAATTTCTTCAGTGTTGTCACATGAAAAGATATAATAAAATATTTACAAAAATGTGAGGGGTGTACTCACTTCTGTGAGATACTGTATATGCACACATTCACTGAATGAGTTACAGCAGATTTCTAGTTCCAAGCATGCTTTGCTTCTGACTGTTAAAGGAGAGTAAAAATGTTAAAATTAAGTGTTATTTCATGTGTTTTTGCTCAATATTAATATAGGGGGATATCTGTTTCTGGTGTGTGTAAGTTTGTGGGGTCCCCATTGTGCAGAAGAGTAGAGTTTGTGTTCAGGAAGACGATTGGCCAAACACCATTAAATTATATGTTACTTTATTTAAAAAATAATGGTAGTGCACTGTTCAGCACAGATATAGTATGTTATCTAAGTGTTTAGTATGAGAGGGTGTGCTTATGTTATTGTAAACTAGCTATAATTTAAAATATGAAACGTATATCATAAATGAATGTTAAATATATATTTCCATATATGTGTGTATATACTGCATGAGTAAATATATGCTTAATATATTTTTACACATGCAGTACCATATTTTGTATCTATATTATAAAGTGTATTACTGAATATAAAATTACATATATTGTGATATATAAGTAAATATATTGTCACATATTTTTCAATATATGAAAAGCGGCAATTCCTTATGGATTATTCAATATATTGTAATATATTTACACAATATATTATTCTGTATAATTTCTAATATACCATTATGTAATTTAATATATTGATCATTAATATATTAGGAAATATATTTTCTTTGCGTAAGGGCATCCATCAGTAGGCAGTTCTCGACTCCACTCACCCAGGAACTCACATCAAACAAAAACATATTTTTACGAATTAAGTACACCACTCCACACCTCCCCCTGCCCTTGTTAAAAAATAAAGGACATATTCACAATATGACTTATTTTGCTGAACTTATGCAGACTGTTGACATGTTGCTGAAGCAGACTGATTGGCCCGTAACAATGTTTATGTTACAAAAACAAGTGCAATTTCTTCCTGCCTGGCTCTTGATTAGTGTGTGCAGCATTTCAGAGTTAGGGTGTACCTCAGAGTGTTTCTTTGGATGGAGTCTGTTGCCGGAGGAAAGTTACATTGTGACACTGTCACACAGGACACATGTCTTAACCTGCTCAATATTTTATAATGATTTTATGTATATTTGTGTTTTAATAGGTTTTCATGTTGTCTTAGCCATTTTATTCCTCTTAACTATTTAAATGTGTGTATGTCTTTAAGTGAAAGGAAACAGGAAGTGGATAGTATAAAGGAGGCAGCATGTCAAACAAGCATGGTCGTTGCTCACATTACGATCTAGTGGTGATCTCCTGCAAATTGGAATAGTGGAGTTACCTTTGTGGACTTACCTTTCCAGCACTTTGGATTAAAGGCAGAGTAAGTGATTTTTCAAAAACACTTTAGAAAACTGATTCGGGCCGAATCGCAAAACAAACTTGTAGCCAATCAGCAATAAGGGGCGTGTCTACTCGTGATGTGGAGGAGAGCGCGTTCAGTGCATGGGACGGACATTAGCCGAGCCGAGCGACAGAAAGATAGAGATGGCGGATAAAAAACAAAAGAGGAAAACGTCTGCGGAACGATAAGGCAAGAAGTAGGACACGTGTAAATATCGGATCAGCTTTCCAGCGCTGGTACCAGAAATCACTTACTCTGCCTTTAACACTACAGTGGACTTTTTTTATATACACCGGTGGACACTTCTGGGACACCTTCACATTGGGACTTACAGCACGCTAGGATTCTTAAGGACTGTTTTAAGGTATGGAACTGAAAGATTCTTTTAACAGCCTAGGTTTTCTAGTTTTATTGTATTGTTTTAAGTTCCATGTGGGAATTGTAAATACAGTTTATTTATTCACTTCATAACTGTTGTACATCTCATCTTTTTAAACACTCCAAGCTCTCACACAGTATATAATCTGACCCCATTTTAACAAGCATAACATCTTCCAATTAGGCCGATCGTTATATATGGTGGCCCGTACGGGGAACGTTTAAAGATTTTATATGCTGTGTTGAGAAAAGTGTTTAAAGATGATGACAAATCAAGTTAATGCTGCTTCTTTTAATGATGAACGGGTTTTACATCACTGTGAGTGTGTACAGCTACGTGCCGAGGTGGTTGCTCTCAAAAACCTTGTTTTAAAATTGGAAAAGGATTTTAAAGACTCTGTTGAAAGTAATCTTAACTGTGAAGTGTATTTTAGAGAGGCTGTGGATTTTAAATTTGGCAAAATGGAGGAACCTATCAAGGATGCCGTGGCGACACTAGAGAGAGAGATCATCGAGTGTTTTAAGAGGAGAGACAAGAAATGGGTGAAACAGCTGGAGCAGACAAAGGATCAAGAAGCTGCCATCTCTCCTCCCACTGTGACGACCAGCCCAGTGCCTTCCACGTCAACCCCTGGCTTTCCTCCCACCAACAATCCCAGCACCTCAACCACTTCACGGATTACCAACAGAGCGACCGAGGGAGAATTCTGCACCTCCACCACTCCAACTGGGCCAGACTTCGACACCATCTTCTCCATCATTCCCTTCTCCAGAGAGCAACTCATCAGCATGCAGGGCGATGACGACACTCTCCAGGGACTTTCCATCTCTCCTTCCACTCCACCGACCAACAAGATTGAAGTGAGGGAACACCAGGGCTTGCTGTATCGGCAGATCCAGAAGGGGGACGGCAACTACAAAATACAGCTCGTTGTCCCTAAGACCCTGGTCCAACAGATGGTACAGCACATCCATCAGAGGACAGCAGAGAGACATCATGGACGGCTTAAGACCCTCCTGCAGATCCTGGAAGTTGCCTGGTGGCCCACAATCCACAGCGACACCTGGAGGTTCGTCGAGGACTGGAAGTCATGTGGGGTGGAGACCAGGAAGTGTTGAGTCATCGACCCTAGCAAGAAACCACCACATCATCCACCTCATCCCGTTCAGCATCTTCAACCATATCCACCAAAGAGACCCACAAGCTGGATAGGAGGAAACGCCAGGGGAGCTGGCGGACCAGCAAGGCTGGGTGCAACATGACCCTGGGAGTAGCGGCGCCACCGATCCTAGGACACCCAGGCTGGTATCGTATTCCTTCTCTCTCTAGTGTTCCCATAGATTCCTCCAGCAGACTAGTGCCTATGTGGGAGGGCCTAGTTTTATCTAATTTATTACAATGACATTTTAAGACACACATGTCACGACCCGGCCAGTCTAGGGTTGGTAAGGCCGATGACAAGAATAAAGTTAAAGAAATAATTTAGCTCCTCTCCTGTTCCAGCTCACAATGACCACAATAGAGGTTTATTCACAAGCGAAAGTCTGTTTATTACATCTTTGAGTTGACGTTTGGAAGCACATCTCTTCGGAAGGGGATCCAGGCCAAAATAACAAACCAAAGAGAAACTAACTAAGGGTTTAGAGAAGCTCAAATTGCCTAACAAAATAAAAATTCCCAAAAGAAATACGGAGGTCTTCCCTAACTCCCTCTCTGGCCAAAAACAGGAGAAAACGACGTTCACAAAATAAATGGCAATCCCCAACCTACTGCTTCAGAAATAACAAATAGGTGTTTACAAATAACGAATACTAGCTAACAACCAAAAAAAACTCTTAAGGATCGGATTACAGAGGACTCCGATAGGCTATAGCTTAGTCCTTGCAGTTCAGGAAACGGTGTTTCCGCAGCGCCACTCAGAATGGTTACACACACTATCTTCTACGGCAAGGCAATAACACCGTCGTTTAACAACACCACACAACCAACTGTTGTCTGGGCCAGGAGACAGAGGACGGAACGGCACGACACCCGGGGCGGAGCTTCACGACGCGCACACTACAGAAGCATTGGAAAAGGATTTTAAAGACTCTGTTGAAAGTAATCTTAACTGTGAAGTGTATTTTAGAGAGGCTGTGGATTTTAAATTTGGCAAAATGGAGGAACCTATCAAGGATGCCGTGGCGACACTAGAGAGAGAGATCATCGAGTGTTTTAAGAGGAGAGACAAGAAATGGGTGAAACAGCTGGAGCAGACAAAGGATCAAGAAGCTGCCATCTCTCCTCCCACTGTGACGACCAGCCCAGTGCCTTCCACGTCAACCCCTGGCTTTCCTCCCACCAACAATCCCAGCACCTCAACCACTTCACGGATTACCAACAAAGCGACCGAGGGAGAATTCTGCACCTCCACCACTCCAACTGGGCCAGACTTCGACACCATCTTCTCCATCATTCCCTTCTCCAGAGAGCAACTCATCAGCATGCAGGGCGATGACGACACTCTCCAGGGACTTTCCATCTCTCCTTCCACTCCACCGACCAACAAGATTGAAGTGAGGGAACACCAGGGCTTGCTGTATCGGCAGATCCAGAAGGGGGACGGCAACTACAAAATACAGCTCGTTGTCCCTAAGACCCTGGTCCAACAGATGGTACAGCACATCCATCAGAGGACAGCAGAGAGACATCATGGACGGCTTAAGACCCTCCTGCAGATCCTGGAAGTTGCTTGGTGGCCCACAATCCACAGCGACACCTGGAGGTTCGTCGAGGACTGGAAGTCATGTGGGGTGGAGACCAGGAAGTGTTGAGTCATCGACCCTAGCAAGAAACCACCACATCATCCACCTCATCCCGTTCAGCATCTTCAACCATATCCACCAAAGAGACCCACAAGCTGGATAGGAGGAAACGCCAGGGGAGCTGGCGGACCAGCAAGGCTGGGTGCAACATGACCCTGGGAGTAGCGGCGCCACCGATCCTAGGACACCCAGGCTGGTATCGTATTCCTTCTCTCTCTAGTGTTCCCATAGATTCCTCCAGCAGACTAGTGCCTATGTGGGAGGGCCTAGTTTTATCTAATTTATTACAATGACATTTTAAGACACACATGTCACGACCCGGCCAGTCTAGGGTTGGTAAGGCCGATGACAAGAATAAAGTTAGAGAAATAATTTAGCTCCTCTCCTGTTCCAGCTCACAATGACCACAATAGAGGTTTATTCACAAGCGAAAGTCTGTTTATTACATCTTTGAGTTGACGTTTGGAAGCACATCTCTTCGGAAGGGGATCCAGGCCAAAATAACAAACCAAAGGGAAAGAAGTTCAAATTGCCTAACAAATAAAAATTCCCAAAAGAAATACAGGTCTTCCCTAACTCAATCTCCGGCCCCAAAAACAGGAGAAAACGACGTTCACAAAATAAATGGCAATCCCCAACCTACTGCTTCAGAAATAACAAATAGGTGTTTACAAATAACGAATACTAGCTAACAACCAAAAAAAACTCTTAAGGATCGGATTACCGAGGACTCAGATAGGCTATAGCTTAGTCCTTCCAGTTCAGGAAACGGCGTTTCCACAGCGCCACTTAGAATGGTTACACACACTATAACACCGTCATTTAACAACACTACACAACCAACTGTTGTCTGGAGCAGGAGACAGAGGACGGAACGGCGCGACACCTGCGGCGGAGCCTTCTGCACACTACAGAAGCTCTCCATCGCTGCTCTGCTTCCCAGCATTTAAACGCTCCGGCTCACCACGCAATCTCCTGCAGCTGGTCCCAATCAAGCGCTGCCAGAAGGGGAGAGAGAGAGAGAGCTGCGCACAATCCGTAGCACACAATACAACATATACAATACATAATGCAAATAAATAAAAATAATAACTTACGTCGAAGGACGTAACACCCCCACCCTTAGTTACAAAACTCGATTTGTAAAAGGTTACAATATTTAATTCATGTCACCATAATGAAGGCAATTCAGTTTTCTCCAGCCCAAGCCCTGGACAGTGCATCAGCTACGATGTTCTCTGCACCTTTCTTATAGCGTATGTCCAAATCAAACTCCTGTAAAATCAGTGCCCATCTCATTAAACGTTGGTTGGAGTTTGACATACGAGACAGAAATGTTAAAGGGTTATGATCTGTGTACACTATAATTCGATTACCAGAGTTTAGGTACACTTCGAAGTGTTGGAGGGCTAGAAGTAACGCCAGTGCCTCTTTTTCTATAGTGCTATAGTTCTGTTGACACTTAGTAAACTTTTTAGAGAAATAACTGACAGGATGTTCAATGCCAGCGTCATCAGCTTGCATTAGCACCACACCGGCGCCACGAGCACTTGCATCAACATGCAGAGTGAAAGGCAAAGCGAACCTTGGGGCAGACAGGATTGGAGCATTGCACAGCAAATCTTTCGCAGAGCAAAAGGCGGACTCACACTTTTCACCCCACACGAATTTTCGATCACTGCTAAGGAGATCGGTAAGGGGCGCAACCACTGTGGCGAAGTTCTTACAGAACCCCCTGTAATAACCGGTCATTCCTAAAAAACGTCGTAATTCGCGTTTATTAGTAGGTGATGGGAACTCAGCAATAGCTTCAACTTTTGCACTTACAGGCTTTACCTGGCCCTGCCCAACTAGTTTCCCGAGGTAAGTAACTACAGCCTTCGCGAATTCACACTTACTGAGGTTAAGCGGCAACGATGCCTCAGCTAAGCGCTTCAAGACTGAATTCAGGATGCATAAGTGGTCGTCCCACGACATGGAATAAACCACTACGTCATCGAGATAGACTTCACAGTTCTGTACCTCAGACAACACCGTCTGCATTAATCGTTGGAATGTGGCAGGGGCGTTTCGCATTCCAAAGGCCATCACCGTATATTGCATGAACGCGTCAGGCGTGACAAAAGCGGAGATCTCGGAAGCACGCGGTGTTAACGGCACTTGCCAATAACCTTTGAGAAGGTCAAGCTTCGTTACATAACGTGCAGAGCCCACTCGGTCGACACAGTCTTCCATTCTGGGAAGAGGGAAAGAGTCAGCTTTAGTTATTGACCCACATCGATGTCATGCACCAACACGTTAGTTTGAGAGGGAACATCGTTAAACAAAGTGGGATACTTGTTAACCAATTCAATAATATCATTGCGGTGTTCCTCAGGCAGATATGAGAGATAAGTCGGCAGTGTGGACAGAATGGCAGAGTTTGAAAGCCTCCCACAAGAGGTTTGAGCATCTTTGCCAGTTAAACCATCTACCTCCGGCATATAACCAGCAGGCAGATCAACAACATTCATTGCAGACACACGGTTAGCTACAGGGTTAACATCAGATCCATTTCGGTCAACAAACGCTTTCAGCATATTTATGTGGCAGACCCTGCTTGTACGTCGTCGATCGGGAGTGAGAACAGTGTAATTCGTATCACTCAGTTTCTTTTCTATCTTATATGGGCCAGTAAATCGAGCATGCATGGGAGAACTGCGTACAGGCAACAACACGAGTACGGAATCTCCAGGTTGAAAACTACGAGCAACACTCTTCCGGTCATACCTGGTTTTCATCTTGGCTTGAGTGTCAGAAAGATGCTGCTTAGCGACATCCCAAGCTTTATGGAGATGCTCACGGAACGTACTCACATACTCCAGGATTGGCACGCGGGGAGAATCTTTAGAAAGGAACTGTTCATAGATTAACTTCAAAGGTCCCCGAACTGTATGTCCGAACACAAGTTCGGCGGGGCTGAACCCTAAGGACTCTTGCACAGTGCTTCTTACAGCCAGCATTAAAAGGGGCAATCCATCCACCCAGTCTTTACCGGTTTCGACACAATACGTGCGCAGCATTGACTTGAGCGTCTGATGGAAGCGCTCGAGCGCACCTTGCGACTCTGGATGATATGCGCTTGACATTTCATGTTGTACTTGCAGTTTTTTCACCAACTGTTCGAACATGTTCGAGGTAAAATTCGTTCCCCGATCTGTTTGAATTACTTTTGGTAACCCGAACATAGAGCAGAACTTAACCAACTCTTTAATCACTGCTTTTGTGGTGACAGAACGCAGAGGCAAGGCTTCCGGGTAGCGCGTAGCTGCACACATTATTGTGAGGATATATTGGTGACCAGACTTAGCTTTAGACAAGGGGCCTACGCAATCAAGGATGAGTCTTTCGAAAGGCTCTCCTATAACAGGAATAGGTTGAAGCGGAGCTTGAGGGATCACCTGATTAGGCTTACCCGCAAGTTGGCAGACGCGACAAGACCAAACAAATGCAGACACTGAAGACTTCATACTCGGCCAAAAGAAATGCCTAGCGATACGATCATGTGTTTTTGTAACCCCAAGGTGTCCCGAGCAAATATGCTCGTGGGCCAGTTTCATTATTTGAGTTCGATAGCCGGTAGGGAGAACGACCTGATAAACTCCCTCACGTTCAGAGTCAGACGGCTTCCACCAGCGCATTAGTACACCATCGTCCCAACAATAACCTACCGGCGCATCTGCGTTCAAATAATGAAACTGGCCCACGAGCATAGAGAGGAGTTAGGGAAGACCTCTGTATTTCTTTTGGGAATTTTTATTTTGTTAGGCAATTTGGGCTTCTCTAAACCCTTAGTTAGTTTCTCTTTGGTTTGTTATTTTGGCCTGGATCCCCTTCCGAAGAGATGTGCTTCCAAACGTCAACTCAAAGATGTAATAAACAGACTTTCGCTTGTGAATAAACCTCTATTGTGGTCATTGTGAGCTGGAACAGGAGAGGAGCTAAATTATTTCTTTAACTTTATTCTTGTCATCGGCCTTACCAACCTTAGACTGGCCGGGTCGTGACAATCCTACGCAATCAATACAACATATACAATACATAATGCAAATAAATAAAAATAATAACTTACGTCGAAGGACGTAACACACATTTTAGAGGATACCACTACATGGACAATGGCTGACAGTACCTTTAAAGGACTAGTCTTCCCCGTATGTGTATGTCTTTAAGTGATTCTGTGTC